TGTGTGTGTGTGTGTATATATATATATATATATATATATATATATATATATATATATATATATATATATATATATATATATATATATATATTTGATAGAACCGGAGCGCTTTTTTACGGTTTTCGCCCTTGACAACACTGCTCCCAAGGTGGTTCCCCAACAGATATCATCAAGAAAAACATGGTGTCTTTGGAGGAAGCATGTTATGATTGAAATTTGGACACAAACTTGAAATAAACGAACTGAAAAGTCCAGGGAAGAGCATCATACTTTTAGATATCTTGAGTAGATGACCACATAACTGAAAGCAATGACATTATGGCATAGGCTGAGCTCATGCAAGTTTACCCCCTCGGGAAATTTGAACAAGAAATCTTGTTCCAGAAATTTCACATCATAGTATATTAAAAAAACCAAAAACCAGAATAAAATTATATGTAAGATTAAGACTAAAAAATCCACGTCCTTAAAATAGAAAAGACTGCTTTGATGCAAGAAGCCTAAACTGAAGCAGAATTGCTTGTATACACACACATAACTAGCACACTATTCACCGAAATATTTTAGGGTTCAGATTTTCGCTCACAAAATAACAGGGTTATTTACCACAAGTACCTCAAAGTAGTATAGCATTCATGTAATATGGAAGCAGTTTAAAAAATTTAAGCAGGTTAGTAACAACCATATTTCTAAGACTTGAAGGACATTAAAAAAATATGATAACTTTGTGACTACCTTAAGTTTTAATCTTGGAAAAAAGAAAAACGAAGGAATATCAAGTATCAACCACGACCTTAGTTTACATTTGTTTTGGGCATTGCCAAACCAAGTCTAGCCTTCGTAAATCACACTAGGAGCCCTCAAACTTGGATAAGTAAGCCTTCTTATAGGTTAATCAATCCGCTCCGAGACAACTCATGTTTTTCACTCTATTATCATCACAAATATTTATCACGTTAGGACCGTGGCTCAAACCGATCCACATCAACGTCATGGAAGATCCTGGATCGTGTAAAATAATAGTAGAACCAAAAGCATTACAACAACAACTACACATCAGTCCCAAACAAAGTTGGGGTCGGCGATATGAATCCTCACTCCTTTCTTTAAGCTCAACTCATATCATCATGCCAAAATAAAATAATAGTAGTAATAAAGAAAAGTCTATATATAGTAATAATATTAGAAGTTCTCTAACCTTTTAACCCCTATTCCTAACAAATTTAAAGCAAAAGCAGTACCTTCTACAAAAAAAAAGAAAGTTGACTGCCAGCTTTCTCCTAAGAAAAATGAGTTGATAAGTACTATAATTTTCATAGTGATAAATCGAATAGGTGAACCAAAAATATGAACCCAATTTGGAAGCATTCAAGTGTCTATCGAAAATAGTCTCTCAGCCCTTCCGGGATAGGGGTAAGGCTGCGTACACCCTACCCTCCCCAGACTCCACTTGTGGGAATACACTGAGTTGTTGTTGTTGTTGTTGTAATTTGGAAGCACTCAAGCAATGTATCCACTACACAACAAATACACACTAATGAAGTGCAAGCTAGCAACAACTAAATACTTTTAACATCTAAAGGACATTATATAACATGACCATTTCATGACTACAAATACATTTATAACAACTACTACTACTACTATGCCTCAGTCCCAAACTAATTGTGTTCGGCTATATGAATCTTCACTGACCATGTTTCTACAAATACATTTATCTGAAGAAATGTTTAAAAGTTCAAGAATCATACCATATGCACAATGGATGAAAACAGGTATATTCTGAGCTCTTTTTCTACAAGCCCACTTAACAGCAACTTCAATATCACTTGGCTGAGGTGACCTTGTATCCCATGTTGGAATACACAAATATGCATGATTCCCTGTAAACTCCAACATCCTAGGCAACTCACAAGTACAATCAATAATAGCAGGATTTCCAGGTGGCAATTTCTTAATTTCAGAAGGCCAACCTCCAACATATAACCCTTCAAAAATCTCACTATATGGAGGTTCACCACTTTTCAACCTTCTTAATGCTGAAAACCCTCTAACAAAATACAAATATGGACTAAACATAATTAATGACCATATAGGAAAAGACCCATCTGAGTTTTTTCCTAATAGAATTGGAAGATTAATTGATGGATTAGCAGCTAATGCTACTAAGAATGATACTAATGATGCATATAAACATGGTATTGACAATAATGTGTAGCCATAATTCTTGAATGTTGCAAATAATAAGAATAAAGTTGCTGCCTTTAGGCCTATTAGCACTGATATTCCAACACCCATTTCTTTTCTTGACCTAAAGATTTGATTTTTGAGCAAAAAAATCAGATGCAAGGTTGAAAAACTTTAATGGGTAATTCACAATTCAAGAAATTGCAGTGAATACTAATGATAATCTTAACGATCTTCAAGATTTAAGGACAATTACGAAGAAGGAAGTTAAGGAGATGAAGAGAGAATATTTGAGTAAACGAGATGCAAGTCGCTTGTTTAGAGGGTAAGGAACTTTACTCGAGGACGTTGAATTTAATTAATAGAATAGAGTGTGATTTGAAAAGAAAAAAAAGAAAGAAAAAATACAGTGTTTTGATGGAAGAAGTTTTTTTTTTTTTTTTTTTTTGGTTGACACAGTGGTACTGGAGCCCGACTAAATTCGGATTCGCGCCAAGAACAAGAAGTCTCACATTATGGGTAAACCGCTCCCTAACAAAACCGACTCCATACTCATAGCTCCAACTCGAGACCTTTGGTGAAGGAGTACGTACCACTCCACCATAATCCTTGTTGGTCAGAAAAAGATTTAAGTAGTACCATACGAGTGTTAGGATTTGTGGTATCACATAAATAATATATTTGAAAAAAAAAAAATTAGTTGATCATATTAAAAAGTTAATTAGCAGTTCAATTGTTTAAACTGTATCACTAGTCAGACAACATACTGAATACTCCCTGTATTCCACCTTATGTATACAACAATAACCATTTAGAGAGCTAAACAAACTTTTTATCGTGATATTTTCATATGTTTTTTAAAATTTTGAATTATTAATTATTGTGACCAGTATTTTTATGTAGTTTTTAAACAGGTAAATTTTATTTTAAAAGGTAAATGTACAATATATTTTATCTTCACAACATTGATCTGCAAAGATTCCACTACTCTTCATAAGGAGAAATTTCAGCAAAATTAATTGATGCAACACCCATATTTATTGTCTTCTAGAAAATGTCTTTATCCCATCCAATGAGAGAAACATGAGAAGAGAGGTCAAGAAAACGAGAATGAAACGAAGCAGTAGCAGACACCTCTTCGCCAGAAAATTATATTATATAGTTAGATAAAAGTTTTATTTTTGTGTATATGTCCTATATAATCATCATAGTTTTCTAGTGTCTTTACTTTTTATATCTGACACTTTTTAATTAAACTTTTTAACTCTATCACTTGAGCGAAGACTAAAGTTTTTTATTACTGTAAGTGATTTGGCCAAACTTGAATAAACCACGTCGAGATCGGAGGTGGAGCCAGGATTTGAAATGTATGAGTTCGATTTCAAATTTTTTAAGTTACTGGATTCTAAATTAATAATTTGTATATATTTAATGAATTTTTTAAGACAAATACATAATTTGCACCAAAGCTACTAAATTCGGCCGAACCCATAAGTTCTAATCTCCATCCGCCTCTGCGGCCGAGACAGTTGGCGACACTTTCTTATCAATTTTGGCTCATAAAAGTTTAAGGCAATCGTATTCAACTATAATGACAGACCTTTCTCCTTATGGAGGAATTCAAAAAGAAGTGTTAACAAGAAATTGCCTCCTGGACCTTGGAGGTCACCTATTATTGGTAGTCAGTGGCGGAGTCAGGATTTTCATCAAGGGGTATTAAAATATAAATAATTAGATACATCGAAAAATCAAGGAGAGTCAACGTATAGTAAATATACATAAAATAAAAAAAATTATCTAGCAATATAGTGTAATTTTCTGGCGAAGGAGTGTCGCTTGACACCCCTTGGTTCAATGTGGCTCCGCTACTGTTGGTAGTGTACACCACTTAACAAAAGGACTACCACACCACATTCTAAAAAACTTGTCACAAAAATATGGCCCCATTATGTACTTACAACTCGGGGAAGTTCCCACAGTAATTGTATCCTCCCCAAACATGGCCGAAAAATTCCTAAAAACTCATGACCTCGCCTTTGCATCGAGGTCAGCAACCATGTTGGGGAGGATCTTTTGTTACGACTGTACAGACATTGCATTTTCTCTGTACGGTGAATACCGGAGACATATGCGTGATGTGCAGGCTTTCCTTCAGCTTTCGGGATGGACATCCGCCCATGTGGTTGATACCGGGAACCCGAGTTGATCTCTTCTATCCTTATTTTTGACTCATAACAGTTATGGACATCCGCCCATGTGGTTGCTTGAAACTCGAGCAGGCTTTCCTTTAGCTTTCGGGAGGCGTCGGAGCTCCGCTGCCCGCTCATCTGGCACCGCCGGTAACAACATCCTCTTTTTCTGGAACCGGATCACGAATTCTCGTACCATTTCAAACTTGCCCTGCGCAATCCTGAATATGTCTGCCTTTCTGGCTTGAACCTTCCTTGCTCCGGCATCGGCCTTAATGAACGAGTCTCCAAACATCTCGAAATAGTCAATTGAATGCTCGAGTAAGATAGAATACCATGTTAGGGCCCCCTTTGTGAGGGTTTCACCAAACTTCTTCAGAAAGACTAACTCGATCTCATGTTGAGCCAAATCATTCCCTCTTACGGCCGTGGTGTAGGTTGTGATGTATTCCTGCGGATCCGAAGTCCTTATGTATTTTGATATGTCCGGCATCTCAAACTTTAGAATTAACTCTAGTGTTGTACAACAATAAAAATAGCAAACATATAACACAAATTATTCAACAAAGGAATATACAATTTTCATATATATATTTGCTAAACAATAAACTAATCCGGATAAAAAAAATTCACAAAACAATCACAAAATCATACAATACAGTAATAACAACTAATTACTCTGTTGACATCCAATTTTATCCATCCTTTCTTCCAATTAATTCCTCGAGCTTCTAAGTTACTAATAAACTTAACACCTTATTTTTACTACTTTTATTACGATTATTACTATTACTATCATTAGTATTAATATTAGTATTAGTTGTAGTATTTTTATTAGCATTAGTATTTGATCACGCCCAACTCTAGTCCTAAAACGGATAAGCGGTCGCTGCAAATATAATCCGGTCTAAAAGTCCGGAGTCGAATCCCACAGAGAACTAAGGTTTCGCTGTAATTGTTCAATATCGCAAAGAAGACAAGTTTGAACAATTTCTAAATTATAATATTAAGATTTTTATATCTAACTAATTAACCAACAAATACTATAAAACGTAAAATTATCAACTAACGAGACAAAGGTTTGGAGACTAAATTAAGGAGGTCTAGAGTTATGATTTCCCCAATTGTTGATTTCATTAATTGTATGTATCTTATAGCTTTGACTTAGTTGCCTCTATCAATCATGAACTCTCCAGCTATCATAAATCTCTCTCAAGCAATTATGATAATTTACTAGACGCACTCTCTCAAGCTACACTAGCTAGATTCACATTACAGTTCACTTAGATCGCACCCGAGGTATCGTTATCTCTAATCCAACCTCTAAACCCTCAGTTATGACTCTCGCCTATACTCCGGGAGTGATGTTGTTCAAACAACTACCTAAATATGCACTTTCTCTCAAGCAGATACATAATAAATAGGAACGGCTAATTGAGGATCCTTTCAATTAACCAAAATCAAAACGTAGTTGAACAAATAGAGATTAACAACTAACTCAAAACTATACTAATATAACAACCAATTCATCCCCAAAAGGTTCCATCAAAATCCTAGAAAACGAATTAGCTATTCATAATATTATGTAAAACTACAATACTAAAAATCATAACCAACAACAAAAATAGGAAGAAGAAGGGGAAAAACTCGTAGTTGAATCTTCCTCCTTGCTCCTAGCGTGTTCTTGCCTCCAAGGGTGTTGTCTAACCCTAAAGTAGTGTCTCCCTCGCTCCTTTGGACGAACTAAACCTTTTATAGGTTGAGGGGACTTCCAAAAGTACCCTTCAAATCTGTTATTCCGTCTGGACTAGCGCGGCCGCGCTAAGCCAGCGCTAAGGCCGCGCTAGTTGGGTTATATTCTATCTCCGTCCGCGTCAGGTCCGCAGTCGCAGTTTCAGTCGCGTTTTTGACCCTGTTCCTTGGAAAAACGTAAATCATGAAAGTTGTAGCCCTTTGAGTCAGCTTTCCAACCATATATTGTGGATCCCAAATGGAGTTCTGAGCAAAAAGTTATATCCATTTTACTAGACAGTGCGCGATATGCCTACTCGATTCTTCGTTCGCTCTAACTATCATCCGTTGACCCCCAAACACGATCCCAGCTTAATTCCTTGAGCTTTTACTCAGACTTCAAAGCTCCAAATCGCTTGAATTCATTCCATATCATTTATATAGCTCGGAATCAGTCCTACAAGGCATAAAACACACAATTAGTGCATAACACTAGCGATTAAAGCTCAAACTCAATTAAAGTGCAGTAAATTAGAGTGTAATAATCGACTAAAATACGTAATTATAGCCTATCATCAACACCCCACACTTAAACCATTGCTCGTCCTCGAGCAATCAAACTACACTTTTTTATAGACACGACCTTTTTAAACAATTCTCCTAACTCATCACACCAAGAGTATTTAAAATAGACTAAGCACAAAAGCGTAACATCTTCACCTCAAGATTTGACTCATAAGTACCACGCATTATTCACAACTCACCCACTTACTCTAACATAGAGGTCACTGACATTACCTTTCCTTCATGAATCAAGTGCCCTCATACAACAAAAGAGAGTAGTTCCACATAATAAAATTTAAGAACACTTAGGAACTCAAGATAGAAAGAATTCACTCACTCTCAGAAATAACATTCATATGCCACAAAAGATGCACCATAAGCTTGCCCATAGTGTACTACTCCACTAATCGAGCTCATTCATCTAGGATCAATTAGGACTTATTTGGTTGTAATGTAGGCTACGGGACGGGTAGGATATATTTAGATATAACAGTGACTACACCTCCCTAAGCACTTTAATACATATACTTTAACATTCAGACCCAATATTTATGTCAAACCAAAACTCCACCTTCACATCAATGTATATTACCCCATTCTTCTTTAAGCACACTTACATCAAGAGCCACCACTTATCAAGGAATAATTTTTTTTTCACAACAATCGAACTATTTTTTCTTCAATTCAAGTGGCTCTTACTTTTTTTCAAAACAGTGCACCTTTCTCCTTGTTTCATTAGTTCCACTCGAAAGCCAAACCAACCACCCCACACTTTAACTTTTACATAGTTCATAACAATTCAAGTGCTCATGAGAGGTGAAAAGGTTCAAATAGATGGTTAATTCAAACAAATGGGTAAGGCTTGTAATGTGGTTGC